GGAATGTCCTTGAGGTTTTAATGGTGTCTTTCAAGAGTTCACGTTGAGAAAAGTATCCGGAATTGGAGGAGATACAAAAGGAACATTTTGTTACTTCTACAGAATATCTATGTGACATAATTCTGCACCTCCATTCCATAGAGAACATTCAGGAATTTATCAGACAACATCTGCTTTGCTTCATGTCATTGTTGCATCTTCACGTATTTAGGCTTGGTTCACATCTATACGTGTCAGGAACGCGCGCAAAATTACATGCGTTCCCAACACGCACAGAAATGTGCTGCTCTTTAGCAGATGCATGGGGGCACCCCTAGCACACATTTTCATGCGCACCAAACCACTTGGTGCCACAGCTCCATGCGGTCTGGTGCAGTGCAATTTTACAAAAGGACCGGGGACGTATTTCCCTATGTTTTTTTGTGCTTTGAAATTAATAGGCTGCCCTATGTGGGGCACGCATAGATGTGACACCAAGGCTCACTCAAATTCTTGTAAAGGATGCAGTATTTGTTCCAGGTCTGTGGAGCCCATCAAAAAGACTTGGAGCTTCAAAAAATAAAATGTGGACAAAACTGTCTAAACACCATCTGATGGAAATAAAGTATATTGCCAAAAGTATTGGGCCAGCCCTCCAAATCATAGGATTCAGGTGTTCCAATCACCTCCATGGCCACAGGTGTATAAAATCATCACCTAGGCATGCAGACTGCTTCTACAAACATTTGTGAAAGAATGGGTCGCTCTCAGGAGCCCAGGGAACTCAGCCACCAAGTGGCAGGCCACATAAAATGACAGAGCGGGGTCAGCGCATGCTGAAGCGCACAGTGCGCAGAAGTCGCCAATTGTCTGCAGAGTCAATAGCTAAAGACCTCCAAACTTGGTGTGGCCTTCAGATTAGCACAACAACAGTGTGTAGAGAGCTTCATGGAATGGGTTTCCATCACCGAGCAGCTGCATCCAAACCTTACATCACCAAGTGCAATGCAAAGCGTCGGATACATTGGTGTAAAGCACGTCGCCACTGGACTCTAGAGCAGTGGAGACGTGTTCTCTGGAGTGACCAATCGCGCTTCTCTGTCTGGCCATCCGATGGACGTGACTGGGCTCGGCGGTTGCCAGGAGAACGATACTTGCCTGACTGCATTGTGCCAAGTGTAACGTTTGGTGGAGGGAGGATTATGGTGTGGGGTTGTTTTTCAGGGGTTGTGCTTGGCCCCCTAGTTCCAGTAAAGGGAGCGCTTAAGGCATCAGCATACCAAGACATTTTGGATAATTTCATGGTCCCAACTTTGTAGGAACAGTTTGGGGATGGCCCCTTCCTGTTCCAACATGACTGCGCCCCAGTGCACAAAGCAAGGTCCGTAAAGACATGGAGGAGCCAGTTTGGGGTGGAGGAACTTGACTGGCCTGCACAGAGTCCTGACTTCAACCCCATAGAACACCTTTGGGATGAATTAGAGCGGAGACTGTGAGCCAGGCCTCCTCCCCCGACATCAGTGCCTGACGTCACAAATGTGCTTCTGGAAGAATGGTCCAACCTTCCCATAGACACCCTCCTAAACCTTGTGGACGGCCTTCCCAGAAGAGTTGAAGCTGTTATAGCTGCAAAGGGCGGGGCCAACTCAATATTGAACCCTATGGACTAAGACTGAGATGCCATTAAAGTTCATGTGTGTGGTGGAAAGGCAGGCCGACCAATACTTCTGGCAATATAGTGTATTTATTTATTACGGCAAGAACTTATCCACTTATCTGCTTTGCCGAAAAAGGATTTTCCCTCTCATTTTTCCTTCCTAGCTAATTTTTCATATGGTTCTTTATGAAGCTTTAATCGGACAAAGAGAGAGAGGGTCTGAAAGTAAGCAGATGCTGCTGCGATCTTCCTTTAGAAATCCCAGAAAGCTCTGTAAATTGTGTGTCATGACTGAATCCTCTATTAAATGTTTCTTTCTAAAGCAAGCTTTTTTTTTTATTAAAATGGGAATTGTTGTCCTCTCTGTACTAGTTCCACCTGCCCCCCTGGTACTGCCATTATGGCGCATGCGCTGAAGGGTGCTGCCTAGCCTACAGGTCCTGGCAGAGCACTTCATTACATATGTGCACATGATAGGAGACATTCCATGCATGTGCATAGATAGCAAAGGTTTTGGATTTCCTTGATAGCCTGTCTTTGCTCATGCGTGGGAAACCTGCATATGTACCAGGGGCGGACTGACCATTTGGAAACTCGGGCACTGCCCGAGGGCCCGGGTCAGTAGGGGGCCCCATGAGATGCCCCTGGTACCTTTTTCATAGGCTTTTTTGAGTTTGGGCAAGGACACAGGGGCCCCATGATCCCCTATTGCCCGGGGGCCCCATGAGTTGTCAGTCCACCCCTGATATGTACAGATGTTCAGGTGAAGCGTGTGAGTGCGCAGATGTGCCGTGGGGCTCACACAACATTTTCCTGGGCTGAACAAGAGAAAATCAATTGATACAGCTATCCACCATAGATCTGGCCCTACTCTAGTAGCTTTTTTGAATAAACGTTCGTAGGAATATTTGTACCTCAAAAGCCGTTAACTTTTAACATTCGATTTTGAAGCAAATACATTTTCCCGAGCGAAAGCCGCATTCTCTGTTAGAAGTTTGCTCGTTTATGAAAATTCTTCTGTCCTGATTCTTTGAATTTACCTCATAATGAACGCCATTTTGACCCCACTAGCGATTAGAGAATCAAACAAGTGTTCTTAAAGCGAAAAATTTAGAAAGTAACCCATACAGTATAGGAGAAGTTCTACCAATGTTAGTAGGCCTGCGTTCAGAAATTAACACAACGCCTCCGACCTGAGGTGGTAGCAACTCCTTTGAGCAATAAGAACTAGCATCAATTAGACTAGCTCACTTTGGGCCCTCAGAGTCTGGGGGCAAGGTTTAAATCTGAGGTAAGAGAGCTCTTTGACCAGGGTAGACACTGTCCCTTTAAGTGCAGTAAGGACTCTTCTGTGCGCTCATTGGGGCCCAGTTGGTACACAAGTAGACAATGATGAAGGTGATGTAGGTGATAGTTCCTGGCAGGATTGATACAAAGGGGAGGTAGAAGAAAGGACAAGGACTTTCTCTTTAAGTGACACCTGATGTGCATGTTGTCTCCTATAATGCGCTGAGAAAAGAGCAGCTTTTGGGCAAATAAAGTGTTAAACTGGCAAATGGGCTTATTGGAAAAAAAGGCAACTCCACTCTGGGATGTGGTGACCAATGGCAATGGTGGCAGAAATTCCTTTGGGAGGATAGGACAATTGTTCAGAGAGCACTGATGTGATCTGGCCTGCAGAAGGTGTTGTTGGTTATGTGTTAGAGAAGACACTGGTAGCTTGTGATGAGGCAGAACACTGTTTTACTTGCGTGGCTTAAGTTGCAAACATACAGAACACATTTCAGCAGCCATCTTGGTTTTGGAAGAGAGAGAACCAACAAGTTTTACACATATGCACAACTAGTAACCTTAGTGTACAGTACCATCTACTGGTCAAGTGATATTAACACACAATACTATATAGTACATGCTGTTGTATCTCCAACAGGTGTGCACTGCGGTCAGCTCTGATGATTTAACTGTACTGTAAATGTGTTCAACAGTAGCGGCTATGGGAACTAGGCCACAACGCGTGTTAACCGAATGCAATGTCCAGAACTGTGTGTAGATTTAGTAGCAGGTATGAGGAGAATGTCAGTGTTCTCTTGTATTACTGGTGTATGGGACTCTCTCGGTGGCTTCTAGCAGGTTCTGGCTATCTTTTGGTGGATGGGGCCTCCACAGGTTCTCTGACCTCACCTGCAGCATTCCCTTTGGTCACTGTGCTCCAGGTTACCCGCCGATAGACAGTCTTGCTGAATAAGGTGGCAAGGTCAGCGGTCAGCAGCTCCTCCTTGCTTCTGCTTTCTCGGATTCTGTGGCCTGGTCTGGTTCTCCAGCAGTTGGCACCACTCTCTCTCTCCAGCTCTCTCCCTCTCACTTTCTATCTAGTCTCTCAGGCTTCTGTATATATCTGCCCTCGCCCACACGCCAGCTCTTCTGGGAAATGTAGTCCTCTGATACACTGCTCTCCAGCAAAGATCTGCGATTACACATACAAGGTCCATGGGGCTGCTCTGCAAAGTGTGAGTGCCACTAAACATATAGGACACTGCCATCTTGTGTTGGTTTTTGGACATTACTGCAGGGTGTTACATAAGTTCTACTAGGGCATGACCAACTTCACAGTGTGTGCGCAGAAATCTCCACTTCCGGCCATTGTATTCATGTTTTGAAAGGATGGTAGCGCCACACCAGCTTGTATAAACCTTTTAAAAGAGTTTTATTTTGTAACAGCAAATTCATTTCAGGGGCTCAACACCCCCCTCCCCTCATTAGAGCTATAAACCAGATTCCAGTCCAGATACTTACATTATCTCATTGATTTTCAGCCCTGATGAATGTTGAGGAAGTGCTGAGCCCCCAAAACTTGTTGGCTGTTACAAAAAGGTCTATACAAGCTGATGTGGTGACACTGCCATTCCTTCAAAACTTCAATAAACTCCTCTGGGGGTCTGGCAAGACTCCACAGTTGCTGGTGAGCAGCCTCTTGGAACGTAAACCACCCATTGCAATATAACGCATCTCCACAAGGTTCAGCGCTCCTACATCACAAAGATTGCAAAGGCCATTGTATTCAGGTAGCCATGGCATCCATATAATGGCACTTCTGAACAGTGACTTTATCTGATAGGATGCCGTCACTGTCCAGTCAATGACTTTCAACCCAACTTTTAAATCCACTTGAGCCTGGTGGTGCTTATAGGGTCACCTGTGACTGGAATTGAATCCACTTCAAAAACTCAAGTCTTTTAAGCCCAGCATAAGTCAGAGGAGCAACACCACCCCCTTCCCTTATCCTAACCAATGGAGAGACAAATAGATTTTCAATTAGACAGTAGCAGCTCCTGTGTTAAGTATTTACATCTCCATGTCTTTTTAGGAGGAAACTGTCCACGAAGTCTAAGAAATGGAAATCCATTTTTAATCTGGGCCGATCCGGAACCGAATCCAAATCCAAATTAAGCCGCAATGGGAGTGTGTTTGTTAGAGGACAGAAAGACATGGGAGGTAAGTGCGCACTCTCTATTCTCTCTGCTGGGATATTTTAAGAGTGACTTCACACTCTCACCATGGTTGGCCAGATCTATAGTAGGCAGGGCTGAATCTTGCCTGTTGATGTGGGGGTGCAGTAAACAATGTCAGGGGGGCAGAGGATGGGAGGTCAGCGAGGCAGGGGACAGGGGGCACTTCTGGCAGGGCAGAAGACAAGGGTCATTACTGGCAGAGGACAGGAGTCACTGCTGGCAGGGCAGAGGACAGGGGTCACTGCTGGCAGAGTAGAGGATAGGGGTCACTGCTGGCAGGGCAGAGGACAGGGGTCACTGCTGGCAGGGCAGAGGACAGGGGTCACTGCTGGCAGAGTAGAGGATAGGGGTCACTGCTGGCAGGGCAGAGGACAGCGGTCACTGCTGGCAGAGTAGAGGATAGGGGTCACTGCTGGCAGGGTAGAGGACAGGGATCGCTGCTGGCAGGGCAGAGGACAGGGATCACTGCTGGCAGGGCAGAGGACAGGGGCACAGCTCCTTCTCCCACCCCTGCACTGCACTGTACTGCACACATCCTGGGCACAGGCAGCAGAGCTTCTCCTCCCCACACAATGCATACCTGAGATCAGTAGAGTGTCAATCAAGGACAGAATAGTGTCAGGCTAGGGCATTACAGTGTCAAACTAGGGTGGTAAAGTATCAGATTAGGCTGGTATTGTGTCAATTTAGGGCAGCATAATGGCAGGTTAGGGTAGCAGAGTGACAGGATTGGGTAGTATAGTGGCAGGTTAGGGCAGTATAGTGGCAGGTTAGGGTAGTATAGTGGCAGGTTAGGGCAGTATAGTGGCAGGTTAGGGCAGTATAGTGGCAGGTTAGGGCAGTATAGTGACAGGATAGGGTAGTATAGTGGCAGGTTAGAGTGGTATAGTGGGCAGGTTAGAGCAGTATAGTGATAGGTTAGGGTAGTATAGTGGCAGGTTAGGGCAGTATAGTGGTAGGTTAGGGTAGTATAGTGGTAGATTAGGGCAGTATAGTGGTAGGTTAGGGAAGTATATTGGCAGGTTAGGGAAGTATAGTGGTAGATTAGGGGTAGTATAGTGGTAGGTTAGGGAAGTATATTGGCAGGTTAGGGAAGTATAGTGGTAGATTAGGGTAGTATAGTGGTAGGTTAGAGAAGTGTAGTGGTAGGTTAGGGTAGTGGCAGGTTAGGGAAGTATAGTGGTAGATTAGGAAAGTATAGTGGTTAGATTAGGGTAGTATAGTGGGTAGGTTAGGGAAGTGTAGTGGTAGGTTAGGGTAGTATAGTGGTAGGTTAGGGTAGTATAGTGGTAGGTTAGAGAAGTATAGTGGTAGGTTAGGGTAGTGGCAGGTTAGGGAAGTATAGTGGTAGATTAGGAAAGTATAGTGGTAGATTAGGGTAGTATAGTGGTTAGGTTAGGGAAGTGTAGTGGTAGGTTAGGGTAGTATAGTGGTAGGTTAGGGCAGTATAGTGAGTGACAGGTTAGGGTAGTATAGTGACAGGTTAGGGTAGTATAGTGGAAGATTAGGGAAGTATAGTGGTTAGATTAGAGAAGTATAGTGGTAGGTTAGGGTAGTATAGTGGTAGGTTAGAGAAGTGTAGTGGTAGGTTAGGGTAGTATAGTGGTAGGTTAGAGAAGTGTAGTGGTAGGTTAGGGAAGTATAGTGGTAGATTAGGGTAGTATAGTGGTAGGTTAGGGAAGTATAGTGGTAGGTTAGAGCAGTATAGTGGTAGGTTAGGGTAGTGTAGTGGTAGGTTAGGGCAGTATAGTGGTAGGTTAGGGTAGTGTAGTGGTAGGTTAGGGCAGTATAGTAGCAGGTTAGGGAAGTATAGTGGTAGGTTAGAGAAGTATAGTGGTAGGGTAGTATAGTGGCAGGTTACGGTTGGCTTTCAGGGAGAAAAAACTAAAATATGGGGGAGCATAGCCAACCCCAGCACCATACCCCCCCCCCCCCCCCCCAAGTCCAGCCATGATAGTAGGACATTTGTAGTCTTTATGTATACAAACTACCCAACTACTATGGGGAAGAATTTCCACCATGTTCACCATGTAAGACTAACACTAAACCTATATCTTTGCAGAGAAAGCTACGATCCGACCTGCTAAGAGTATGGACTCCCTGTGCTCTCTTCCTGCAGAAGGTCAGTATATATCTCATTCGTGAACACAAAGTTAGTATGTTACAACCCTAGTAAATTCACATTCAGCATATGCTGAGTAAATCATAGGCCGGGTCACTTTCAGTGGAAACTGCATGTTCAAATGAACAGAAAATCAAGAAATACAGAAAGCCGAAAGGTATATGCAAATCTTGACTTCTATTGAAAAAGTCAAGCTGGGTTTTGCCTTCCCATCCCCCTAAGCTCCCCACTGGTCACAAACACCACACATTATATTACTTCTTGACGTCAACATAACACATACATGCAATGCCAAAAGGGTGAGCTTTTAGTACACACATGCCACATATACAGTGGGGATCGAAAGTTTGGGCACCCCAGCTAAAAAAATTGTATTAATGTGCATAAAGAAGCCAAGGAAAGATGGAAAAATCTCCAAAAGGCATCAAATTACAGATTAGACATTCTTATAATATGTCAACAAAAGTTAGATTTTATTTCCATCATTTACACTTTCAAAATAACAGAAAACAAAAAAATGGCGTCTGCAAAAGTTTGGGCACCCTGCAGAGTTAATATCTTGTACTGCCCCCTTTGGCAAGTATCACAGCTTGTAAACGCTTTTTGTAGCCAGCCAAGAGTCTTTCAATTCTTGTTTGAGGTATCTTTGCCCATTCTTCCTTACAAAAGTCTTCCAGTTCTTTGAGATTTCTGGGCTGTGCTGTCACGCACTGCTCTTTTAAGGTCTATCCATAGATTTTCAGTTATGTTGAGGTCAGGAGATTGTGAAGGCCATGGCAAAACCTTCAGTTTACGCCTCTTGATGTAATCCCCCGTGGATTTCGAGGTGTGTTTAGGATCATTATCCATTTGTAGAAGCCATCCTCTCTTTAACTTCAGCTTTTTCACAGATGGCATCAAGTTACCATCCAAAATTTGCTGAAATTGTATTGAATCCATTTTTCCTTCTACTCGTGAGATGTTCCCTGTGCCACTGGCTGCAACACAACCCCAAAGCATGATTGATCCAACCCCATGCTTAACAGTTGGACAGAGGTTCTTTTCATTAAATTCTGTGCCCCTTCTTCTCCAAACGTACCTTTGCTCATTCCGGCCAAAAAGTTCAATTTTAACCTCATCGGTCCACAGAACTTGTTTCCAAACTGCATCAGGCTTGTCTATATGTTCATTTGCAAAGTTCAAACGATGATTTTTGTGGTGAGGACGTAGAAGAGGTTTTCTTCTGATGACTCTTCCATGAAGACCATATTTGTACAAGTATCTCTTTATAGTGGAATAGTGTACCACAACTCCAGTGTCTGCCAGATCTTTCTGGAGGGATCGTGCAGTCAAACGTGGGTTTTGAATTGTTTTTCTCACAATCCTGCGAGCTGTTCTGTCTGATATTTTTCTTGGTCTTCCAGATCTTGCTTTAACTTCCACTGTTCCTGATGACTGCCATTTCTTAATTACATTCCGAACAGAGGATATTGACATCTGAAAACGCTTTGCTATCTTCTTATAGCCTTCTCCAGCTTTGTGAGCGTCAACTATTTTCAGTTTCAGTTTTCTAGACAACTGCATAGAAGAACCCATGGTGCTGATTGTTGGGGCAAGGTCAGATGAGTCTGGGCATTTAAAACCTTTGAGATTGACATCGCCTGGTCTTCCCAGACGATGATTGAGAACAATCCATGACACTGGCAGGTCTCAGCTTTGCAAAGGGGGCAGTGCATGCTATAAATTCTGCAGGGTGCCCAAACTTTTGCAGACGCCATTTTTTTGTTTTCTGTTATTTTGAAAGTGTAAATGATGGAAATAAAATCTAACTTTTGTTGATATATTATAAGAATATCTAATCTGTAATTTGATGCCTTTTGGAGATTTTTCCATCTTTCCTTGGCTTCTTTATGCACATTAATACAAATTTTTAGCTGGGGTGCCCAAACTTTCGATCCCCACTGTATGTGTCACTGGACAGCCGATGTTTCCGTGCTGTGAGCACGCACACTGTACACTCCCAGCACAGAGACCAAGCTGTCAAAGACAGCTCTTGGTCCAGACTAACTATTGGTAGCTGGTGGGACTGGCTCCTGATCGCCAATCCTTCCTGCCTCTTGGCCATTCTGAACTTTTTAAAGGGAGGCCAGGGTGGGTGGGAAGGAGCTAAGGTACCAGCAAAAAAATCTGGAAAGCAGGGGAGGTGGATCCATGCTTACCTTTTTACAGGAAAAGTCAAAATTTGCATATTGCTATAGGTGTCTCTGGATCCACGGGTCGTTCTGACTTGCTGATATCATGGAAAAGTATCTCTTCCTTTTTATCGTTGTACATTCACTTTAAATTGGATATGTTTTTGCAAGTTTACTTTCAATGTACTCTCTAGTTAATTGTGAACATTCAGGGGGCTATTTTACAAATAAATATATTGTTGGACGAATGTCTCATGAATTCTCTCAGTCATCACAATTTTTGACTGTGTTTTGCCTAATACAGTGATATCCTTTGATTGCCAGCTCCATCTAGTGGCCATATTGCAGTATTTCCCTGATTCAGGTATTTCAGAATTTTGTGACTTCACCATCCCGTATCTCCACCTCGTCCAATCAGAGAACGCTTTGCATTCTTTCATTGAATGCAATGCATTATCTGAATGGAGCCCTTGCTAAGCAGCCAATATCTAAGCCGGAGTCTACTTCAGTCTACTAATTCAGTCTACTACAACTTTTAGAGCGATCCCACAGGTATGGTATATACATTATTATTATTATACAGTATTTATAAAGCGCCAATAGTTCGCTCAGCGCTGTACATTACAAAGGGGGACAGAACATGTGACAGAACAATACCAATACAATGCAAAACATCGAGGGGATCTTTCGAGCTTACATAGTTACATTGGTCCAAGCTGGGCCAATGCAACTATGTACTGTAAATATATACCATGCCTGGAATACATCTTTAGGTCCATGATGTTGAGCAAGCAAAAGGAGGTCAGGAGTTTTGACTTCACTGGCTGCATACTTGGCCATTGATTTAGCCAAGTACTAAAGCCAGAGACAGCCTGGAAGCTAGCAAGAGAATAGGTGCAGGTACTCCCTCTTCCAAGGCACCCCTTGTCTCCACCACCTACCCATCTCCGAGCACCATCCGTTGGTTCCACCCTCTATCCACCTCTCAGTACCGCCCTTTTAGGAGAATATAGAACCAATTATTATTTTGTGGTGATCAGTAATGTGTATAGAATGTGTTAATGATAACCAAAAAAAGCAGTAAAATACCCTACAGCCAGCAACAATAGACCCACGAGCAACAATAGACCCCCGCAGCAGCAATAGACCCACCCGCAACAATAGATCCCACCAGTAACAATAGATCTCCCTCAGCCAGATACCCCTTCCTCAACTGTAGATCCCCCAAAACAACAATTGACCCCCACTCAAAAATAGATCCCCCAGTGACAATAGATCCCCCAGTAGCCAGCATCAATAGACCCTCCAGCACACCCCAGCACCTCTTTTCATTGCATACATTCAGTGCTGGAGGTGACAGAACTGCATCTCCCCATGTTCCTGCTAAACAAAAAAGCCTTGGGCAGCCCCATATTTGCTTCTTGACAGGTTTTCTTGAAAATCATGATAATAGAGGGGAGCCTGAGCTGCTTTAGAACTACAGAAAGCACTGCATGTCACGCAACTCTTACAGGAAAATCTAGTGCCAGTAAAGATGAGTTATATTTCCGAGTTATACGGGCGCCTTGTCAGCAGGGTAATGTACAGGATATCGTATGGCTGCTTTATAATCCATAGTTCTATAGCTGCTGCGGGCAATGATTGATCTGATGGGTATATATCACTATGGGCTTGTTTTGCGTAGAAATGAAGTGTAATTGAAATGTCATCTCAATGTTGGTTTCGTAAGACAATTAATAATTTATGTTACATATACAGAATATACAGTCCAACACCCAAATTTCGAGCAAAATGCATCAAATGATCATAAGGTGTGGAAAACATACATAGCAAAATGGTTTATATAAAGTGAAACTCCAGCCAGACTAAAAAGAATTTAAAATTCTTGTTTGTGATTTTTTTTTTCTGTATGTACACTGCATGGGAAAATGTTTTGGAAAGTTGAACACACAGTATTACCTATATTTATATGACTAAATGTATGTAGACACTCCTCTAAATTATTGAGTTCAAGAATTTCCAATGAAGAGTACTGTTAATGCTATGGCAACGAAGATATTGTGCTCTTCCAGTCTTGTGGTAACAGTTTGGGGAAGACCCTTTACTGCTTCCTCATGATTTGCCCCCTTTATATACAAAGCCAGCTCCATAAAGATGTTTGTTTGTTGTAGAGGAACTTGAGTTGCATGCACTGAGCCTTGATTTCATCCCTACTGATACCATCCATAAAGACATGGTTTGCTGGGTTCGATGTGGAGGAGCTTGAGTGGCCTCCACAGAGCCCTAATCTCAAGCCTACTGATTACCATATATAAAGACATTGGTTCAATGAGTTTGTTATGGAGGAACTTGAATGACCTTTGCAGAATCCTAACCTCAACCCTGAGTTTTTGTGGAGGAACTTGAGTTTCCTGCTCCAAGCCCTGACCTCAATCCTACTAATCACCATCCATAAAAGACATGGTTTGATGAGTTTGGTGTGGAGGAACTTGGGTTACCTGCACCAAACCCTGACCTCAACCCTACTGATCACAATCCATAAAGACATGGTTCGATGAGTTTTTCACGGAGGAACTTGAATGGCCTTCACAGAGCCCTACTCTCAACCCTGAGTTTTTTGTGGATGAAATTGAGTTTCCTGCATCAAGCCTTGACTTCAACCCTACTGATCACCATCCATAAAGACATGGATCAATGAGTTTGTTATGGAGGAACATGAATGACCTTCACAGAATCCTAACCTCAACCCTGAGTTTTTTGTGGAGGAACTTGAGTTTCCTGCTCCAAGCCCTGACCTCAACCCTACTAATCCACATCCATAAAGACATGGTTTGATGAGTTTGGTGTGGAGGAGCTTGGGTTACCTGCACCAAGCCCTGACCTCAACCCTACTAATCACCATCCATAAAGACATGGTTCCATGAGTTTTTCATGGAGGAACTTGAATAATCTTCACAGAGCCCTACTCTCAACCCTGAGTTTTTTGTTGAGGAACTTGAGTTTCCTGCATCAAGCCATGACTTCAACCCTACTGATCACCATCCATAAAGACATGGTTTGATGAGTTTGTTGTGGAGGAACTTAAATGACATTCACAGAACCATAAGCTCAACCTTGAGTTTGCTGTGGAGGAACTTGAGTTTCCTGCACCAAGCCCTGACCTGTGACTGTCAGCTTCATTTAGTGGCCATATTGTAGTATGTTCCTGATTCAGGTATTTCAGAATTTTGTGACATCACCGTCCCACCTCTCCATCTCGTTCAATCAGAAAACGCTTTGCATCCTTTCAGTGAATGCAAAGCATTGTCTGAATGAAGCCCTTGCTGAGCAGTCGACCTCTAAGCCAGAGCTTACTTCAGTGATTTCCAGCTTCTAGAGCGATCCCACAGGTATGGTATATACATAGTTACATTGGTCCAAGGTGGACCAATGCAACTATGTAAATATATACCATGCCTGGAATTCATCTTTAAGTCCATGATGTTAAGAAAGCAAAAGGAGGTCAGGAGTTTTGACTTCACTGGCTGAATACTTGGCCATTGATTCAGAACGTACTGAAGCCAGAGACAGCCATGCAGCTAGCAAGTGAATAGGTGCAGGTACTCCCTCTTCCAAGTTACCCCTTGTCTCTGCCCCCCTACCCATCTCCCAGCACTGTCTGTTGGTTCTACCCTCTACCCACCTCCTAGTACTGCCCTTTGAAGAGAATACAGACCCAAGTATCATTTTGTGGTGATAAGTAATGTGTAAAGAATGTGTTAATGATAACCAAAAATACAGTACTTAAGTTTCCTGCACCAAGCCCTGACCTCAACCCTACTGGTACTATCCATAAAGAAATGGTTTGATGGGGTTGATGTGGAAAAGCTTGAGTGGCCTGCACAGAATCCTAACCTCAACCCTGAGTTTGTTGTGGAGGAACTTGAGTTTCCTGCTCCAAGCCCTAACCTAAACCCTACTGATCACCATACATAAAGACATGGTTTGATGGGTTTGGTGTGGTGGAGCTTGAGTGGCCTGTACCAACCCCTGACCTCATCCATAAAGACATGGTTTGATGAGTTTGTTATGGAGGAACTTGAATGGCCTTCATAGAGCCCTGACCTCAACCCTACTGAACATCCCTAATTATGAGTTAGGTCTTCCCATCCAACATCAGTACCTCACAAATGTTCTTGACATAAAAATGGGGTTGAATGCGCTATACAAATTTGTCCAAAATATGACAAAAAAGTCCTATAAAGGATAATATACAGTCCAAGGTACGTGATATCAGAAGAATGGGGGCTGTTGTAAATTTAACTTCAATCCAAATGGGTATATTGGCCAACATGATGACATGAAGGTGTGGTTGCCCAAGATCACCGGATGGTGTCCACAAGCATAAACCAGCAATAGAAAATCCATGAAGCAAGTCCCGTGAAGGTACAGCCTGATGGTGAAGTGCCCTCTGGTGGTAAACCCTAACGGCTTGCAAGATGATGACCTGGGACCTATATCCCAACTTCTCCTGCCTGGGTGGACTCCTGGAATGCTGGGCTGAGATGTGAGGGCTCAGTGCCAGGTAATAAGATGGAAATACTCATGGTGTAGTTTATGAAGTAATTTATTAAGTAAAGATCATCATGATAAAAATAAAATAGAACACAACAGGGTCAAAATACCTATATATCACTAATGTGAAGTGAGCTCTTTGAATACAAGACCAGTGGCTAAAAATGATGGCCCCGGACCTCCTGATCCGGTGGCGTAACGTCAAGGCGTTATTTTGCACAGTATATGAGGAGCCTCTGCACGCCTTTAGACGTTACGCCAATAGGAGGTCCGGTGGCCATCACTTTTTACCCACTGGTCAGTGTATTCAAAGAGCTCATTTCACATTATATCTATATAGGTACTTTAACCCTGTACGTGTTCTTTTTTTCTTTTTTATCATGATGATCTTTACTTAATAAATATACTTCATTTCCTACTACCACTTGCACCATGAGTTCATTTCCATCTCTATTACCTGGCACTGAGCCCTCACATCTCAGCCCAGCATTCCAGGAGTCCACCCAGGCAGGAGAAGTTGGGATATAGGTCCAGGTCATCATCTCTGGCAGCCGTTACCCCATTTACCACCAGAGGGCACCTTCACCATCAGGCTGTACCTTCACGGGACTTCCGGCTTCATGGAATTTCTATGTGCACATTAAATTTGCACTTCCGGTGAGTGGGCAATTTTTCTACACCTTCATGTCATGATCTAATATACCCATTTGGATTGAAGTCATTTACACTCCACCACTTCATATACCTTTTTGGACTGATATCACATTACCTTGGACTGTATATTATCCAGTTTATAGGACTTTTTTTCATATTTTGTCATACTTATGACAGTGTGTTTTATTTGTATAGCGCTCCTCTCACCCCATTTTTATGTCATACTCTTTACAGAAAGGCTTTTGTGGTTCCTTTTTGTGCATTAGCGGCTTTACTTGGTCGCTCGCTAACTTTTCTTTACATTTACACTCAGTACCTCACAAATGTTCTTTTGGTTGAATGGACACAAATTTCCATAGACACACTTCACAGTCTTGTGCAAGGACGTCTCAGAAGAATGGGGGCTGTTGTAGCTTTAAAAGAGGCCAACTATTATTGGCCATGATTTTGGAATGGGATGGTCAACAAGATCATATAGGTGTCCACAAGCATAAACCAGCCCAATCTAAACCACAATGCTAAGCCTACAACTCAGCCTTAATAGTCCTCTAATTCTAACCCTAACTCTCAACTTAGTCCTCATACTTACAGTCAACACTAATTCTAACCCTCATTTGAAACCCTAACACACAACCCCAACAGTCCACCCATTAATTCTAACACTCATCTAAAACCCTAACCCCAACATTCAATCAAAAAATCACTCAAGAAGTGTAGGACGGCAATACAAGCACTGGCTCCTAAATGTCCCTACAGTAAAGTGAACCTGTTATTTTGCACAGTATATGAAAAGAACTTATTACTTTAGATTTGAAATAGGTGCTGCTATGGAAGGCATTTCCATCCTAGAGGAAACCTATGTTAGAGATTTGTGGTAGATTTTTGGTATTCCTATATTAGCTTTTTTTCTTTCTTTTACTATAACTTCTTCCTACTCTCCCCCCCCAACTCTTGTCCTCTCCTCCACTTTCCATTACACTTCATTCTACCCCTCCCCATGCTACCCTGCCCCCCTCTTATATTTTCTCCACTCCATTCCCCTTCCCCTCTCTCTTTTCCTTCCCCTTCCACCCTTCTATTCAACCCAGTTCAATCCCTACCTTTCTCTCCACTCCAGCCCCTTCTCGGGTTCTCCTTTCATCTCCATTCCCCCCTGCTCTCATCTCCTGTCTACTCCATTCCCTTCACTTTTCCCCCCATTCCATTACCATATTTTCTGATGTGCTCTTTACTCTATTCTTCTCCACTCTCACGTCCTCTCTCCGTCCTTTCATATTTCATATCCATATTTTACATTTAGTCCTTTCCTGTTCATTATATTGTATACTTTATTGACATACTTTTAATGTCCTCTCACTTTTCTCCCCATACATCTTTTCACAGGTGAAGAAGATAAAGGGAGTCGACTCAAAAGGCCTGTGGGCACCGGTGGGTTTTTCATACCCGTCCTCAAGTCCCGTGCAACTGGAACTGGCAGCACTTATGATGTCAGTAAACAAGACAGTGAGTGGGATGGCGAAGAAATAGCTGGGGCTGCAGGAGGTTCTAATCAAGACAAAGCCACCAAAATGTCTCAGACAAAGCAGCCACCAGAGCAGATGAAAGTTTTCCGAATTGGGGATGATTCTGAGAATGAGCAAAACTCTCCGAAAGGAAGGAAAATGTTTTATAGTGCCAATGATGGCTCCTCTAAATCTGGCTTCCCTGGAAGCCTGTTTCCTTTAGAAGCTTCTCCAAGACACCAAAGAAAAGCTTTGAACATCTCAGAACCATTTGCAGTATCTGTTCCTCTACGTGTGTCAGCAGTCATCAGTACCAACAGCACTCCATGCCGAGTCAACTCCAAAGACCGACCTCTTCTCTCAAGCCTGGAGGAATTGCTTCTACTGGAGCCTGACTCAGGGGCCAAATCTCCAGACTCAACTGGCAAATCTGGTCTTAAAACAGGGTCCCGTTCCCCTGATGTAACTGAACCAGTAAAAAAAAACGAGCCCAGGAGGCCTTGCCTAAAAGATCTAAGCCCAGACTTTTTTGAAGGTAAAAAAATATGTCCTCTGACGTTTATGTACTAATGAGATTTTGTAAATCTTTTTTTAAAATGATCTTTTATTTACAACTGGATTCAAACAAATTTTTAATTTGGAAACAATTCCATGGGTTTTGCCAGGGTTGTATTTTACGGTATCTCTGTTAAGTTTTTAGATGCTTCCTCATGTGATTCATGTGATCTTTGATATCACATCAATGCCTAGAGGTGAGGAAACTTCCATGGCAAAAGTGTCCCTGTTCTCAGCAGTGGTCCTGGCATCTTTGATGCGTGGCTCTGCAGGATTACCTCAATGCAAAGGTCCAGGCAGCTTCCATGCGTGGCTCTGCACAGGATTACCTCAACACAATGGTTCAAGCAGTTTCGATGCGTGTGGCTCTGCAAGATTACCTCAATGCAAAGTTCCAGGCAGCTTCCATGCGTGGCTCTGCAGGATCACCTCAATGCAAAGGTCCAGGCAGCTTCCATGCGTGTCTCTGCAGGATCACCTCAATGCAAAGGTCCAGGCAGCTTCCATGCGTGGCTCTGCAGGATCACCTCAATGCAAAGGGTCCAGACAGCTTCCATGCGTGGCTCTGCAGGATCACCTCAATGCAATGGTCCAGACAGCTTCCATGCGTGGCTCTGCAGGATCACCTCAATGCAAAGTGGTTCAGGCAGCTTCCATGCGTGGCTCTGCAGGATCACCTCAATGCAGTGGTTCAGGCAGCTTCCATGCGTGGCTCTGCAGGATCACCTCAATGCAGTGGTTCAGGCAGCTTCCATGCGTGGCTCTGCAGGATCACCTCAATGCAAAGGTGGTTCAGACAGCTTCCATGCGTGGCTCTGCAGGATCACCTCAATGCAGTGGTTCAGAGGCAGCTTCCATGCGTGGCTCTGCAGGATCACCTCAATGCAAAGGTCCAGACAGCTTCCATGCGTGGCTCTGCAGGATCACCTCAATGCAGTGGTTCAGGCAGCTTCCATACGAGGCTCTTTAGGATCACCTCAACCTTCACTGAGCGTGTTTCAGTACTTTGCTTCTAAGGTGTAGGAGAGAGCAGTAAGGTAGGGATGAGGTTTGCACTAGGACACGTGCCTATGTAGCTGTAACGGTTAGCCTTGCTGGCCGTTACTAAGAACTGCAGGGTCTCTGCTGTGTCCCAACCTGCCCTCATTAGTGGGTTTTAAAGGATACCTAAACCCTAGCGCAAAAATTTCAAGAGTATCTAAACTGAAAACCGAAAATTTTAGATGTTGACACATAACACATCTTAGGTGTGACGCCTACATTAGTTTTTTTCTGTATTCTTAGATTTGTTTCCTTTATTTTTACTTGTTAATCCTGTAAATATCCCACCTCCTGTCCCTGGGTGGCTACACTCTCTCCTCAACTGTATCTATGAAGAGATTATGTTATATTGCTTCCTGTTAAGCTCGCTGGAATGTTTTTTGTACTTGATGAAAATGTCCCTAACTTGAAAATTTTAAAACTATGCAGCAACCACATTTAAAGACCAGTAAATTACAATATATTAAATTATTATTATTGTACAGGATTTATATAGCGCCAACAGTTTCCTCAGCGCTTTGTTACATTTTTATTCTTAGGTATAGTTATCCTTCAATATACTGCAGCTTGCCAGTCCTTAGATGTGGTGGCTGCATTTGTTAAAAAATTTTTTCAGGCCAAGAACATTTTCAGCAAGTACAGAAAAGAACTTGGTAAATATATATATACACTATATAGCCAAAAGAATTGAACTTTAATGGCCTTAGTCCGTAGGGTTCAATATTGAGTTGGCCCCGTCCTTTGCAGCTATAACAGCTTCAACTCTTCTGGGAAGGCCGTCCACAAGGTTTAGGAGGGTGTCTATGGGAAGGTTGGACCATTCCTCCAGAAGCACATTTGTGAGGTCAGGCACTGATGTCGGGGGAGGAGGCCTGGCTCGCAGTCTCCACTCTAATTCATCCCAAAGGTGTTCTATGGGGTTGAGGTCAGGACTCTGTGCAGGACAGTCAAGTTCCTCCACCCCAAACTGGCTCCTCCATGTCTTTATGGACCTTGCTTTGTGCACTGGTGCGCAGTCATGTTGGAACAGGAAGGAGTCATCCCAAACTGTTCCCACAAAGTTGAGAGCATGAAATTGTCCAAAATGTCGCCTTATGAGTTCCCTTCACTGGAACTAGGGGGCCAAGGCCAACCCTTGAAAAACAACCCCACACCATAATCCCCCCTCCACCAAACTTTACACTTGGCACATCCATTGGATTGTCAGACAGAGAAGCGTGAATGGTGGCCAGTCACGTTCCTCCACCGCAAACTCGCTCATCCATGTATTTATGGACCTTGCTTTGTGCATTGGTGCGCAGTCATGTTGGAACAGGAAGGGGCCATCCACAAACTCTTCCCACAAAGTTAGGTGCATGAAATTGTCCAAAATGTCTTGGTATGCTGACGCCTTACGAGTTCCCTTCACTGGAACTAGGGGGCCAAGCCCAACCCCTGCAAAACAACCCCACACCATAATCCCTCCTCCACCGAACTGTACAATTGGCACAATGCAGTCAGGCAAGTACCATTCTCCTGGAAACTGCCAAACCCAGACACGTCCATCTGATTGCCAGACAGAGAAGCGTGATTCTTCACTCCAGAGAACACATCTCCACTGTTCTAGAGTCCAGTGCCGGCGTGCTTTACACCACGGCATCCGACGCTTTGCATTGCACTTGGTGATGTAAGGCTTGGATGCAGCTGCTCGGCCATGGAAACCCATTCCATGAAGCTCTCTACACACTGTTGGGCTAATCTGAAGGCCACACCAAGTTTGGAGGTCTTTAGCTATTGACTCTGCAGACAGTTGGTGACTTCTGCGCACTGTGCGCTTCAGCATGCGCTGACCCCGCTCTGTCATGTGACGTGGCCTACCACTTGGTGGCTGAGTTGCTGTTGTTCCCAGTTGCTTCCACTTTGTTATAATCCCATAACATTTGACCGTGGAATATTTAGTAGCCGGGAAATGTCACGGATGGACTTATTGCACAGGTGACCACCTATCACAGGACCACGCTTGGAGTCACTGAGCTCCTGAGAGCGACCCATTCTTTCACCAATGTTTGTAGAAGCAGTCTGCATGCCTAGGGGCTTGATTGTATACACCTGTGTCCATGGAGGGGATTGGAACACCTGAATCACATGATTAGGAGGGCGGGGCCAATACTTTTGTATTGTGATAACTAAATACAAATCTATGAATACAATTGCTATTGACTGATTGATCATTTTACTTTGACAGAAGATAACAGGACTCTGACTCTGAAGGAAATCTTACTGGAAATGTCCCAATTACCGGATATCTTGCCAATCCCGGCAGCGGACAGGAAGCCGGTGGATTTTGTATCGATCAATAAGTTACATGAAGCCATTGAATCAGAACCCAGCAAACCAGCAGAAACTGACACAGCCAAGACCTCAGCAATGATTACCCCGACCAATGACCTGCATGCTCTGCTCCCCAATGATCAGGTAAGGACAGGAACCTTCATAGTGCTTTCAATTAAGGCCTCATGCACACTGGACGTTTAGCTCCGGTGCACGGGGTTCCAGTGTTTATGTTCTGCCCCACTTTGTATTTGTCTGTATTTCATTGAACTGTATTAGATTATTATTATTCTGTAGTATGCTGGCATCTAATGGTGGTTTTGAGATATTACAACTTTTTTACTTATGTGATTTGGTATCTCCCTCTGTACTCCCCACCTGTTTAGTGCTAGTTAGTTTAGTCCTATCTAGATTATTATTATTATTATACAGTATTTATAAAGCGCCAATAGTTCGCTCAGCGCTGTACATTACAAAGATGGACAGAACATGTGACAGAACAATACCAATACAATGCAAAACATGAGGGGATCGAGGGCCCTGCTCTTTCGAGCTTACAATCTAGGAGGGAGGGGATGGTGGCACAGGAGGAGATAGCTGTGGGGGATGGAGTGGTAGGAAGAGTGGAGGAGGTCGGCAGGTTAGCAGGGGGTGTGGTAGGCTTCCCTGAAGAGATGGGTTTTCAGGGTGCGCCTAAAGGAGAGGAGAGTAGGTGATAGACTGATGGGTTGGGGCAGGGAGTTCCAGAGGATGGGTGACACCCTGGAGAAGTCCTGGAGGCGGGCAGGGAACTAGAGAGGAGAAGGTCTTGTGAGGAGCGGAGTGTGCGTGTTGGGTGGTACTTGGATATTAGGTCAGTGATGTAGTTCGGGGCAGTATGGTAGACAGCTTTGTACGTCAGTGTTAGGATTTTGAATTTGATCCGTTGCGCAATCGGAAGCCAGTGGAGGGATTGGCAGAGGGGGGTGGCGGAGATGGAGCGGTTGGAAAGGTGAATGAGTCTGGCAGCCGTATTCAGGATGGACTGAAGCGGGGATAGCCAGCGGCGAGGCAGGCCAGTGAGGAGGGAGTTGCAGTAGTCGAGTCGTGATATGATGAGGGAGTGGATGAGCTGTTTAGTGGTTTCTGGGGTCTAAATCGGTTTCTAGATGATCTCTGTTTTTTTTTTTCATGTTCCCTTAGTCACTGTTAGTACTTCACAGGGTTTGTGTCTTTTTACACTTCAAAAGACA